ACTGCCTGCCCACTGCTCTGTGCTCCCTGCCCGCTGCCCTGTACTGCCTGCCCACTGCTCTGTGCTCCCTGCCCGCTGCCCTGTACTGCCTGCCCGCTTCCCTTTGCTCTCTGCCCACTGCCTGTCCACTGCTTTGTGCTGCACTGTGCTATCTGCCCGCTGCCCTGTGCTTTCCCTTGCCGTGTGCTGTCTGCTCACAACCCTGTGCTGCTTGCCCTCTGCCTTGTGCTGTCTGCCCTCTGCCCTTTGCCCTATGCTTTCCCCTGCCCTCAGCTGTCTACTTGCTGCCCTGCGCTGTTTGCCCGCTGCCCTGTGCTGCCTGCGCTGTCTTGTGCTGTGTGCACTGTGCTCCCTGCTGTCAGCCTGCTACCCTATTACCCTTTGTGGACCCTAGCATTCCCATCTGTGGACCTTCCATTTGGGGACCTTCAGAGTCCCCCCCCCCTCCCCCAAGCCAAGCGGGCATCAGCAACTGTATTTTTTATTTTTTTTTACCAACCTTGAAGAACTGGTGAATAAAATGTAGTTGAACTGGCCATTTATCTACTGCATTTATCTACACACCTTTACTACCAAACACTCTCACACCAAGGGAATCAATGACACATTAAAATAGAGTAAAGGGTCTGCATTTAAGACAGAAATATTTTATAAAATTTTGCAAAAATAAACCTAAAGTACAATACATCTTCACATTTTTTGAGGAAATATAAAATATACGTAACAGAAAATAGAGATGCAGAGCTAATTTATTTTTCAATAAATTGAAAATTCAACTGATTCTTATGCACGACAAATCAAGAACCATAAAAAATCTGATTTAATATTCTTCCTCTGAAACTGTCGCAACATATATAATCTGCAGTATATTCATATATACAAATAAAAACTGTCCCTCTCCTGTGTTTCCTGGGGTGGCTTCCAGAATATCGTGCCCATAACTAAACAAGCAGTTATTCATTATACCGAATTGCTCTATTTAAACCTGAATGTGTCTTTATTTAGGGCTACACTCTGGAACATTGGAGCAGTGGTCATGTAAAACCTTTTCATAGACTGTTTATGTAAAGGAATAATGTTTACAGAAAAGTACAATAAATAAAGTTGATATATAGTACGGCCTTTGGTAGCTAATGTTTAGGTGTGTCAGAGCACCACTCCTCCCATGCAAAGCGACAGTCTTCATGATGAAAGCCTGGCCCATTCGCCTCTCTGGGTAAGTATAAGGAAATGGTGGCTGGTAGCTTTGTGTCAGAATGAAGAGAGAGAGAGAGAGAGAATTACACACGTCTTACATCCCGTCCGCAGCGTGCACTGCCATGGCCAGGTTGCAGCTCCCCCATGACCTTGGCCAGAAGTGGTGGGAAGATGGATGAGTGAATGGATATTTATGGAGCTTTATCTTCATTTATAAATAGACTTCTTATACTGCCCATACTGAAACAGTCTTATGGGTTGACTGTCTGTGGCCAGATAAAGGGGTGTAGTTAAAGGCGGAGCAGGTGTGATCCACTGTGGGAGGTACGTGAAGGTTCCTTTGGAGGTCCAGATGGGAATGATACAGGGTCACAGTGTCCAGCACAAATAAAAATACTTTGTGGTGTGAGGTGTTGCGATCTCAGGCCTGCGACTCTCCTGTGCTCTGTGTCATCCGCAAGGCCTGCGGTAAAAGTCAAAGGTTAATCAGTGTAAAAATTCAGATTCCGTTTTACTGATTCAGACTTTGACTCACCTGAGAGCTGCTACACTCTGAGTACTTGTCTTTCCTCTTCTTCTTCATGGGGATGCAGGACAGGAAGCGGGCATACTCCTCCCTCACCTGCAGGAGGCAGTGGAGAGCTCAGTTCAGCCCATGTCACTCTTTTGAACATTGTGCTTCTGTATATTTGCATTATTGTGCATCAGTGCAGTGATCTGACCAGAATCACAGCAAGATACATTGATATTTAAACCCTACAGGCAGCTAAAACCTGGACTGCGGGAAGTCCACAGGGAGAACATGCAAACTCCAGAGAACACGGGGAGGACATGTTACCTCCACACAGCACAAGGAGAACATGCAACCTTCATACAACATGGTGAAGACATGCAAAGTCCACACAACATGGGGAGAACATGCAACCTCCACACAGCACCAGGAGAACATGCAACCTCCACACAACATAGTGAAGACATGCAAAGTCCACACAACATGAGGAGAACATGCAACCTGGAAATACACATGGCAGAGGTGGCATTGAAGCCCCCACCTACAGAGGCATGAGGCACCAATGCTGCTTGCTGAAACACCAGCCCCATTAAAAGACTTCAATATTTATTTGATCATAATAAAAAAAACTTTCTGATACATAGAATATATTCATACATTTAGTAATATGTTTATGACACTGAATAAGTGATTAGAATATGCATTGATAGATGAAGTAACATATAATAAAGTATATACTAAACAAAATAAACCAAAATCTCACGGCAGGTACTGTATGATAATCAATAAGGCCTATTTCTTCTGTGGTAAGATCTCTCTGATGGACAGACACACCTGTTTGGAAAGCAGGCAGTGCATGATAAAGATCAGCACGCCCTGCAGGCTGTTGAGCATGGTGAAGAGGTAGGACATGACCAGTGTGCTCTCCTCAAACTGGAAATAGCCGAAGATCCACATGGTGCCCAGGACACACAGCTGGGCAATGGCAGTGATGGTGAATGTCCTGGAGGGAGTGAGACGAGCTCATCAGAGCCAGCACTACAGGCATGGCAAGGCAGACAAGCTGGATCAGCTTCGCATTCAGATGGAATCATTGGGGATTTTCACCCAACTTTTTCTAACTTCTATTCGCATAAAATCAGCAATTCATCTGTGAACTACATTAGAAGCAGGATGCGAGCAAAGGGGACTATTCAAGCCACATGGACCATCAGGGCAGCTTTCAGCACATCATACGTGCAGAAAAGGAACAGTGAACTCATGGATAAGCAGTAGGACCTTAACATCTGATGGTCCACTGAATGGGTCCATGCTTGGCATGGCAGTACAGTCACAGTAAGTCTGGAACCTATCCCAAAAATGAAAAGGCTGACACATGCAAGCACACAGTAATACTAATATTCATGCTGGGCCTACAGACACAGTAATATTAATATCCACGCAACACACAAACACACGCACTTGATCTTGCGTAGTATGGACAGGTCCGGGTTTAGACTGGAGAACTTCTGTGCGAGCTTGAACAGAGTGATGATGAAGAAGATGACATTGACAATGATGATGACACACACAGGACCCAGGAAGCTCCAGATGAATCCCCGTTCAAGGCTCAGCCAACAGCTGAAGATAGAAATACCACGATGATTGTTCTGCTGGTAGAACACCATATTCTGCAGTCTCATATGGATATAGCTGTTCTGTTTATATGTGGGCCGGTCCTGTCTGAATACTGTGAGGACATCATCATTAGACCTGTCCCATGTGGATACTGTTAGGACATCATCTTTAAGCCTGTCCTATGTGATACTGTTAGAACATCATCTTTAGGCCTGTATTATGTTTACACTCTTAAGACATTGTCTCTATGCAGGCCTGTCTTATTGTTACTCACTAGTCTTGCGTCCCATATCCCCCTGAGTAGGCAATGGCCGATATGGCCACAATGAGCAGTGGCAACCCATAGCCGACTGTCAGCATGTAGCCAAATCTCAGGGTGGTGTTGAAGACCAGTACCACCATCCGGTATAACTGAATGCCCTCCAGACACATCCAGCAGAAGGCAGACAGGAAGAACAGGTGGAGGAGCCCCGCTACGAAGGCACAGGCATGCTGGAGAGAGCAAAGAGGTGGAGCTTACAAACACAAATACCACTCAAATAAATAACAACTGTAGCTCAGTGGAAGGTACCAAGGAAGATAAGAAGCACTTTGCAGTGCTGTGAGCCCACAAGACAAGGGCCAATGCCGCCAGAAAGCTTGGGCATGCTCCTGTGTTTACGTTATTCCTGTGGCCTGTACTACGAAGCGGGGTTACTGGTTTATCGGGGTAACTTGTCGGATTTAATGTATCACAGTTTAAATGGACTTCATATTCATTCACTTACATTTTGCCCAGACTACCTTAAATTCGACAAGTTACCCCGATAAGCCAGTAACCCCGCTTCGTAGTACAGGCTCCTGCTCTTGCATGACACTGATATGCAATCTAACCTTGTTTGCTTACAATAAGTAAACATCTGTGTAGCCCTGGTAACAGCTCTTGCGTCAGTGCTTAATCACTGCACATCAGAAGACCACACGGATGTTTACAGACAGAGACACGCACCCTATCATGAGTGCTGGAGATCCCAGTGAGGAAGATAAGGTCTGCAATGAAGAGGCTGATGCACAGGTGAAGATGGATGGTATTCCGGGTCCCCTGGATGGAGCGGCAGCAGGAGAAGGTGACGATGCAGAGGAAGAGACACACTAGGGACAGGGACAGCCCCACCCATGTGATGACCTGCAGCTGGAAGGTGCCCTGTATGGAGCAGACAGGAAGTGGTCTTTGACTTCTGTAGTGCTGGTATGATGCTACCACATAGCTAAGGGGAGCACAATTTTGAATAACTGCCCACCCATCAATGTAACATGGAGCTTTGCCTGTCTCACACATATTATACTGGGGGCAACTAAATACCCAGAGGTGCTGGGAGAGAAACCAGAAGCCCAACAAGCAGCCACAGAGCTGTGGCTTAAATCAGGCCCTTGGCCTTTGAGTGGGGAATTAACAATGCAGCCCAAAGAACTATTCAGCAGACCACCATCATTTAGCAGATGCTTTTATGAAAAGCACCATACAACAATGCAAGGGGGGGGGGCAGTTGGGGCTTAAGAGTGACAGCACTCGGGCAGACAGGGATTTGAACCAGCAACCTTGCGATCACAGGCACAGAGTCTTAACCCACAGAACCATGTACACCACTGAGCCTGTCCTCCTGGCTGTTTTTGTAACCTGTTTTTGCCCACCAGATCCTCCTGTCCACTGTCCTTCAGCTTGGTATCACAGGGACTGCTCTGAGATGGTTCGATCTTACGGTACCTATTAGGTGGATCTTTTCCAGTTCCTTACAATGTAGAGGCATCTAAGTCACATAAAGGTAACAACCAGTTTGTTCATAGGTTTAGCCCTGCCCTCCTCTTCTCCCTGTACACTGCCTCTCTAGGTCTAATCTGTCAGTCACATGGCTTCTTCCACCACTATTACACAGATGGCCCCCAGCTATACCTGACACTCCCTCCAGAGGACACCGCCATCTTGACTCACATTTCTGTGTCGCACTGATATTGTAGCCTAGATTCACAAGCATTTTACACCTCACACCACTAGGTGGAGCATGCCACTGCATTACAACATCAGTGTACTGCTTGGACCATCAACGCTGTCTCGTTCAAGGTCTGCTAGGAGCTTACAGATAATTATACGATGAGTAACTATACTTTGCTGACCACAGAACAGCAATCTCCTGATCTGGTAAGAACTCAACCCTCATGGTGTTTTGATCTGAGTAACTGTCTTGGTTCTCACGATGCCCTGAATAGCTCTTGCTCCAATATTATCGTGCACTGGTTTCTGGTGGCTCACTGGAAGTTCCACCCAGCAGCACTTGTACCTAAATTTAGGCCTACGATGTCTGCTGAATAAATGTAATGCAAATACATGTAAAAAATGTAAATATAAATGAATTTGTACATCGATGGTGTCAGGCCTCAGCTTGCTCACCTTGATCTCATGGAGCGCCATGAGCACAGCGAAGCTGCTGAGATGGTTGCAGGAGCAGATGGTGTGCGTGCTGTTAGAGTCCACCATGACACATCCCTGTGGTGACCAGGCCCCACCACTGCTGGCTGAATCCCAGTACACACAAACTTGTTGGGCCTCCCTATTCTGAGAGAGAGCAGAGACACATCACGCTTCAACCTCTCCCAAGATGGTCATTTACCTGCATTGTTTCAGCTGTTGAACTTAATGTCAAATTACTCTAGAGTGACTGTTAATCTAGATTGTAAACAAAGCAATAGGCCTTTGATTTATGACACCAAACTTGTCAGAATTCTTACCTTCAGGTGAGAAAAGGTGAAATTTACAGGTGTGGAAAGGTGACTGCTGTTTGGGTTACTTGTATAAACTGTGACCACTTTAGAATTGATCAGCAAATGCATTTTATCATCTGCCTTGCCCATCCCATGGGAGGAGCCATTTGTAGAGGACTCCAAGTTCTTGTAGATCACCATGGAGACAACAGCAAATCCTGCTCAATGTAAAATACAGCTCAGCGTCAGACACACTGCTCCGAAAAGACAGCGCACTGTCCATAATAATTGTTATTCACTAGGGGCAGCGGAAGTTATGAAGAGTTAATCCTGCTGAATACTGGCATCAAGCATGAATTCTGCATAGAACTACTGCTAAAGACTACTGCTCCTCCATTCGATTTCCGCTATCACTATCCCCCTGAGGTCCAGCAATTTGTCTCTGTCCCCTGTAGAGGACACTATTTTTTGCTCATATCTCTCATACTGCACATGCCACTCTGTAAATTCCTGCTGTTTCTTAAAGAGGACAGTTAGAGCTTTAAGACGTTACATGTTTGCAGGTGTGACCTTGCCAACCTCCTCTTCCTGTCAAATCAAAATTTTTAAATCAATATGATTTTCTTCTCCCCTGAATCTCAAGAGGATATGACTGCCACAAAACATCTGCTAAAATCATGCTTCTGATGCCCCATACTGTGGCTGCTAGTTATAATTTTAGCTACCAATCAAATTTGCTGCATTTACTTTGCGACAATGTATAAAACCTCTTGTTAAAACAAGCGATAGAACAGACACACAGGTATATGCATAAGCAGAGGGTTACTTTTCACTGAAGTCAGTCTTGACCTGGATAGTGAGATGAGCTGGGTACCTGGGTATGTGGAGGCGCCCATGGCGTTCTCCCACGTGGTGCTCAGCTGGACATGCTCAGTGGAGAGGTGGATGGGCCCCTGAGGGGGGCTTCTCTCCCTCCGCACCAGGACTTCCACTTCTGCATGAACAAAGTGTGTCCATCAGCATGCATTACGCATGATCTGCTGATTAACCCTCTGGGGTGTGAGGCCTGACAGCCACTTTGGAGGGGGTCTGACATCGCTTGACATTTTTATATATTTCACCATCTAAAAAACATTTATCCCAAAGTGCGTCATATGTTTTTATTCAGCATGAACTCAGCATCAATAATCTGAGACTATTTAGTCTGTCATTCTTCTGTTTTTTGTTTAAATCAAATGTAAACATACACTTTTCAAAAAACTATTTTCAGAGGTGCTGAGGTATTGCAATAGAAACACATTATAAACATTTGTAATACTTTTGAGCTCTGGAGCTTATACACTAAAGGGTTGGCTACACATAGGTGACTGAGACATTAAGTGTACAAATTCATTTAATTGAAACACATGTGATTTGATTACTAAAGTTGTAGAACTTTGCAGTGACATTTTTTTTCAAAGCCAGTGGTCTACACAATGAATAATGGTACACAATGGTGTAAGTGTCACCACACCTGTATGTGTCTGTGTGTGTTTGTGGGTTCTAAATGCATATTAAGTATAAGGTGTTAAAGCCTGCAGGTCCAAATCCCACAGAGGAAGCCTGCATTTGGGAGGTTATTCTCTCTGGAAACAAAGGGCTGTTGATTTCAATAACAATACACAAGGTGGGACGGCAAGCAGAACATCATCGCTGGGGAGCTTGGGGTAAGGGTGTTATATGGATGGATGGTGGCAATGAAAAATAGTCAGAGGGAAGACAATAAGACAGATGACCATAGTTTTGGTGGCAGCATGAGGAAGCACAGAGAAGAACATGAGAATGGGGTTAGAGTGCTGGAGGGTGCAGGTCACTATAGGTACTGAACCCATCAGCTGCCCTGGGACCAACCCCCCCCCCCCCAAGCCATACATGAAAATAAATAACTGATGGCTGTTCCTCCATTAATAGACTGAACTTTTGGTTAGGAGAATGACAGGAGGGCAGGTATGTATCTGTACCTGCGTGGTGGGTCTGCATCCTGGTGTGATTCCCTCTCAGCTGTGGTCCAATAAGCCTGAGCATGTTCTCCATGGAGCTCAGTAGCTTGCTCACATGGCCTTTGTGCTGCAGGGTCTCACTGGACAGGAGGGTATCGCTGGCCTTCAACACTCTCTTCATCAGGACAAGAGACAGGGCAGTGTTGGAGGAAGTAGCAGTAGTCACATCTTAGCTAATGTGCAGCATCTGTCGTGTGTATGGTGCTATGTAGCTGAGTGGTGACTGCTCTTACGTGACTCTGATCAGAACCAACTGTTAGTGGAAACTGTGCATAACATACAGGGATGTGTTTTGCTCCTATGAGAGAATGCAGGATGTGCCATTAATCATCAACAGTTTGTTACCTGTAACAATATCTCTCCATTCATCTGTCCTCCTCCTCCAGTCATCTGGCTCAGCTCCAAACAGCTGTTCCTCATAAGCGACAAGACACTGTCGAGGCCCAGTAGGGTCTGAGGGAAAAAAGGCATAGGTGAAGCTTAGGGGGACTCATTTATGCTGCTAAAAGCACCAAGCCTTTTGATAGATATTCTGTGAGTGATGGTACTGCACCTGTTGATCTGCCTCAGCAGATTGGTTGTACAACTGACACTGTAACTCTGTAGGACAAAAACCCCAGAAAGCTGAGTTACTGACTGTTCCTGCTGGAGTGACACACGTCTGGCACGGGGGGCTCCTTTCAGAGAGCACAGAAACCCCCACCCATCTCTCACCTACACAGTGGGCCCGCTTGTCCCCAAAGTTGCTGGTACCAGTGTTGCACTGGCACCTGTAGCCTCCGTCCTCATTTCGGCACAGTCCCAGCGTCCCACAGATGGATGCATCAACGAGACACTCGTTTATGTCTGAAGGAGAGAGGGGGTGGTGTGCTGAAATGAGCTCATGGCTGTAGCTCAGCCGTACACATAGACTTTGCTGATTCTGTCATTTTGAAACACCAAAGATAAACTAGTACAGCCAACATGTTCAATACCATGTTCTCACTCACTGCACTCTCCATGAATTCATCTATAAATAAGGAAGAAATAAAGAAGTCATCTATAATAAAAACTCGCTGAGTGTTGAGGAACCACCCAGTCATCCATGAGCTGGACTGGGGCAGCCGTATGAGATGGTACGAGCTGTATATCACCCAGAAACATAAGATCTCCTCACACTCATCGCTTACTCTCCTGGTTGTGACTCACCACACTCATCACTTGCTCTCCTGGTTGTGACTCACCACACTCA